TTTTGTTTTGTTTTGCACTCACTGTTATTTTTAATAAATTTTAGTGACTGGGCCATATGTTGGGAAAAAAACACTGTAGTAATTTCACTGACATAAATAAATATCACATGTCTACAAGTATAGTCTACATATTTAAAGCCAAGAGTCACTGTTCATAAACAGTGTTCGGGGAATGCTGATCACACTGCGTTTTGTGGTAATTGGTTTCTGCAGCCATTGTAATGCCTGCCTGGGATGTTCCCACGTGCGCTAAGCCACGCCCCAGCCATGTGTATTTGTTTACTCTAAGTGACTGGTGAATGCATGCATTTACCAGACCTATTCAGTATAAATTTCAAGTCACAGTAATACATATAGAAGACTTTTCTGTGAAATTAAACTTTTCATACATACTCAATTTTAATCACACAAATGTGTCTACATAAGTAAAAACAGGTAAACTAATTTGTCAATTTTTTAACAAATGCATTTGGAAAACCTACTTTATTATATAACGGATTTTCAGCTTTAAAAGTCACCCCCTCACCTGAATTAGTCCATTATATCATGGTTTTATTGTGTCAACATTTTAAACAAACTCCAAGGCATCTTCCCAATTAAATTTGTAGAAACAAAGATAACATGTATATAGCATTTTTGAGTAATTAGAAGAAGAGTATTCCATCAGGGAAATATTATCATAATATAATCTAGCATCACGAAAATTACATTAGATATGTTGGATTCGGTTTGAGACTTAAATGCAAAGGAAATAAAACCCACACGCAATGCCTGTGTGGATAGCCTGCATGAGCTCTTGCCCTGGCTGGGTTCTCTTGTTCGTGTAGGCAGGCTTTCCCCTTCACTGGGGCTGGCCTAGAGAAGAGAGTTGCTTTAGGCACTGGGGTGCTAGGTGCTCCTTTAAGAATGAAGCTCTATATTAGTAAACCTAATGGCTGATGTTTACATAATTTTTAAAAATCTCAACTGGTACATGTGTGCCTGCACCTAACTATATGTATGCATTTTTTAAAAAATTATGAACTTAAGCAACTTCGCAGGAAAAAGAACTGAATGGAGTAGTTACTAAACTGCCTTTATATAACTATCCAAAAGGATTTCTCATCCTTGTGGAATATTTACACATAAATTGAAAAGTAAAGTATATGTATTCATTTCCATATATTACTTTTTACTTGTAATTTATTTTGTATGCACATGTCCACGGGTCAACCTAATTCATATTTTTTGTTATTTTAAATGGTAAAATCATATTTCATCTATTTTATGCTATTATTTACTTAGTGTTCTGCCAGGGTTGGCTGTTTTAGTTATTTTCGAAGATTTGCTACCATATACAGAGTTCTCCTGCTCATTTCTGCTCAAATTATGTTTTTGTTTGTATGAATTCCATTGTGCATATTCTCCAAAGTGAAAGAATTAGATGAAAGAGTAATGACAGTTTTATAGTTCTTATTGCATATTATAGTATTGCTTTCTGGAGACACTGAACCCATATACAACCCACAGGGGTGTGGGCCATGCTGCTTTTCCCACAGCCTGACCAATATGTAATGTCATCATTCCAGCCTATTTTTGCTAGTTTAATGTGAGCATAGGGCCTCTCCAGAAATATTTTATTTTGAAGTACTTTAAGTGATGCAAAGCAATTCTTTTCCATGGGGGGTAATTAACTGTTTTCATTTTAAGGACAAACAATTCACTTCCTATTGACAGTTTTGGAGGGACCGGCGTAACAACCTTTTGTAGAATTAATTCTCTAGAAATAGGGCCCTTAGGTACTGGCCAGGCTCCGCCTGTTAGGGAAGAGCAGTTGTATAGATCTGAATTAGAAAACGTAGGTGAAGGGCTGCTGCAGAAGTGCCAGCTCACTCTGTTTAAGGAAGATTGGAGAGCAGGAACATTATAATTTCACGATGAAAAAAGCACGGGGGCTTTGGCTTAGGATGACAGATTTTACTTCAAAATGAATGCAAAAACCTATCCCTCCTGCCATTCCATGATATCCTCACACAATGCCACTTCCTTTCCTGAACATTTTCAGGTATCCCCATTTCAAGGAGAGCCCCTGGTCTACGACAGGAAAGACTTTAGAATGGCCAGGACACTCACCTGGGCTATTTGAGAGGTCTTGCGGGGAGGACTTGGAGACAAGTCGCAGGAGCAGTCAGTCCCGTCTGTGGAAAGTCGACTCGGATGTAAAATAGTGCCTTTGCCCGCTGTCTCAGCATTCTGTGACTGTGGTCATCTTCTGTGTAAGCAAATAAATGCTTGCCATGCTGGTGTGGGTTCCTGTGGTGCCAAACACAAGATAGAATGTTATTTATGTAAGACGGACTTTTTGTTTTGGACAGTGGTCTAATCTGTTGATCTTTTTAGAAATTGGTGACTGTCCAACTTGTAATGAAAATCAACCTCTTGAGCACTTGGAATCAAAATCTGTACTTTTCCTCCATTCCCGGCTGTCATGCTAAATTGGACATTTCTTGCTTTCACTCTTGTCTCCATAGAATGCTTACACACACAGACACATGTGTGTCTCTATCTTTATCAATCTGTGCCTACCTATCCATCTGCTTTATTTGGAAATAATTCACACACCACACAATTCACCCATTTAACATGTATAATTCAGTGGATTTTATTATATTCACAGAGTTGGCATCCATAACGACAGTCAATTTTAGAACATTCTATATCCGCCCCCCCCCCAAAGAAACCTCAGTTCCATTAGAAGTCACTCTCTATTTGCCTCCAACCCTCTCAGCCCTAGGCAACTAGGGCTTATTCTGGACATTTCATATAAAGAATCATATAATACGTGATCTTTTGGTTTAGCTTCTTTCACTTTGCATAATTTTTCAGGGTTCATCCGTGTTGTCGTATATATCAGGTTCCCCCCCCCTTTTTATTGCTGAATAATACTTCATTGTCTGATAGACCACATTTTGTTTGTCCATTCATAAGATGATGGGTTGTTTCCACTTTGGGCTACTATGAATGAATAATAAAACATGTATATGTTTCCGTGTGGAAGAATGTTTTCAGGTTTCTTGGATATATGCCCAGGAGTGCTGAGATGTAGGAGAACTGTTTAACTTTTTGAGCAACTGCCCAACTGGTTTCCAAAGCAGCTTCCCCATTTTACATCCTCACCCACAATGTACGAGGGCTTCAGTTTCTCCATATCCTCACCGACATTTGTTCTTGCCCATCCCTTTTGTCATAGCCATCCTAGTGGTTGTGAAGTGGCATCTCCTTGTGGTTCTGACTTGCACGTCCCTGATGGCTAATTGAATACTTCTTATCTTAGTTTTCTTCTTATTCTTTTATAAAAATAAATGATATGCTTCAAGAAATTAAAAAGGGCAAGGAATACAAGCAGCTATAACTTCCTCTTGGGTTTCACACATCATCCCATCAGAATGGAAGGGACCTCCACTGCCATGAGTGTGCTCCAGCCATTTTCTTCCTTCTTGTATCCGTTCATCATTCAGAGCATGGGGAAGCAGAGACCATTGTCCTATGTTGGGTAATGTCCTGTGTTGGGTAATGTGCCCACCCCTTGGGTTTGTAGTTATGACTAGGACTAGACAATGTACACCAGGAGTGTGCAAATCCTGAAAGGAAATTGAAGTGCTTTTGAGGTGGGAGACTGGGTGCCACAGGTGGGACCAGAACACGTTTCCTGCTTCTCTGGGTGAACTGCATTGCCAAGGTTGGGAGCCACAGAGATCTTGTTAGAAACCTCACTAATGATGTCAGAAACCTGTGCTATGCCCTACCACCTATCATAGTGAAGAACGCATACTAAGCTTTATTCATAATATTTCAAAATGATACAATTTTAAATGTACATATTCCTATTTGAAACACAGCATTTTCAAATACATGATCTCATCGATCCTCAATAGTCTATTAGTTTCTGGTTATAGTCTGTGGTGGCCTTGTGGTTTAAATACATGCTTGTGAACGAGCCTCAGAATCCAACCACCACCAACTGATTTCCTGAGAACATGTGTTCTGAGCTCCAAACAAATGACGAACAAATGCCCAAATGTCAACCTGCCCCTAAGCCAGCCTCTCACTGCTCGGCAGGCTCATGCCAGCAGGTTGCGTGGACAACAGAGAACAACTCTCAGGTGCTCCATCTGGCCACCAGGGATGCTGACTGAGTGCTCGGCAATGTCAGGATGGCTGGAAGGATCTAGCACTAGGAGCAGGGTGGAAAATAGGCAGTCCTCGGGATTTCAGACACCACCTCAGGTGCCTCGGGAGGTAGAAATGTTCCTATCACAGTTCCCTAGCGTTTTCTGCTACAGCGGAAGGCGACCAGAAGGGTTTCACTGCTATAAAGGAGAATGACCGGATCAAAACAACAGCTGGGGGTTTAAAGGACTCTGGTCAGAGACAGATGCCCTCACAGGGAGCCGACGCCTCTGAATGGCCTGGGAAGGAGCCGCGTGCCCTGGGTCCTTTCCTCGGGCTTCAACCTCATCTTCCTCCTCCTGCTGTCATCCTTCCAGTCCTGGGCAGAAGCCACGATGGTGGGCGTCCTGGTCTCTGTGAACTTCTCAAGGGTATGTATCAGTGATGGTGAACCTTTTGAGCTCAGCGTGTCAGCATTTTGAAAACCCTAACTTAACTCTGGTTCCGTGTCACATATAGAAATTTTTTGATATTTGCAACCATAGTAAAACAAAGATTTATATTTTTGATATTTATTTTATATATTTAAATGCCATTTAACAAAGAAAAATCAACCAAAAAAATGACTTCGCGTGTCACCTCTGACACGCGTGTCATAGGTTCGCCATCACTGGTATATATTGTCACACAGAAGTCCACCCACGGGCCGCTGTGGACATTGTAGTCAGTCCTGCCGGTTGCCCAGCCAACGCAGAAATTTTATAGCATGCCATTAAAGATTGTATCTATAACTGTGATGATTTTAAAAAAAAAATAATGACTTCATTTAGATTTTTCTATTTTAACCCAAGGTATTCTTCAGCGGAAATAAGGAAACAGTTTACTCTCCCACCAAACCTTGGCCAGTACCATCGACAAAGCATAAGCACCTCTGCTGGCTTCCCCTCTCTCCAACTAGTAAGTATGAGCTACAGCTTTGCTTAGCGGACGGTCAGGCGCAGAAGCGCCCAGCGAAGGCTTCCTGCCTCGCCTCTCCTGAGGTCTCCCCACTGCTACCTTCCACTTCCAACCACCAGGGCCTAATTTTTACCATCTGACAATTTCCCTCTCTTCCTCCCTCGAGTAGGGCTGAGGGTGCAAAATGGGCTGTGGTTCTGACGTCCCTGGACTTAGTGGACTTCCAGGCTATGTGATTTCACCCCCATTATAATTCATATTGTAGGGAGGCAGGGGACTAGCCTTGGAAGCTTGCTGCCGTTCATAACGTGCTTTTATTGGGGGGAAATGTATTCCAAAACCTGAAAAGCCAAGTTACAAACCTTAGTTTTTTAAAATCGTTTTCTTGGAAGTGTAGTTTACATACAATAGAATTCACTCATTTTTAATGTACAGTTTGATGAATTTGGCCAATTTATTGTTATTTAACCTCTACTCAATCAAGAGTCCCCATCATGGCCCCTTTTCGGTCTGTCTCCTTTCCCAGACCTCAGTTCTAGCTCTAGGCCATTACTGATCCACTTCTGTCTCCATAATGTTGCCTTATCTGGAACTTCATATAATTGGAATCAATTCAAACCCCTATTTAAATCACACACACTCTCCTTACATATGGTGCCTGGTGGGTACTGGAAATCTCAGGGGGGACACTTTGAAAAAGTATATGATTGTCTCTAACCACTATGCTACACACCTGAAATCAATGCAGCCCATCATATTGAAAGTTAACTGTAATTGGAAAACAAAACAAAACACCTAAAAAGTATATTTTTTAAACAACCAAACACTCCCCCTTCTAAGTCGAAGGTTGCCTGCATGTTTCACACCAATGGTTGAGCGTGCCTATGTGTGTTCTATTATTTGAGGACTAAATGCCAGACGTGTGCTAAGTAGATGCATCTGACTTAAGTGAGATGGTTTGTCAAACCCGAAGGAGCCTTCACTTCCTCTGTGAGAGCTGCAGCCTCCCCTGGCCTCACTTCCTCAGGCGCGGCGCGGCGCAGCGCAGTGCACTTTTTTGCTTGTTCTGGCGGTTAGCCTGCGGAGGTTAGGTTTATTTTTTGTTTCTCACTTATTGCTTCAAAACCACTTCTGCTCTTAGAAATTTTGTAACCTTCCACTCGGTTTCCTGTGGCTGCCATCTTGTCTCCTGTAACAATTTACACGCGACTCACTGTGTGTCCTTAAAGGTATGTTTACTGGAGTGATTGGTGGTTATTTCAGAGGGGTAACTTGTGTGTTGTGTCACTGATGAAATAGTCCTACTGAAAAATAGACTGCAAAAGGTCATTTGTGAGGACATGTCTTCCAAAAAACTACTTAGGACTTGGGTGGCTTGCTAGACTGCTGTTTTTATTTGTACTTTTCCTATCTGTTTCAAAATCGTGGATTATAATAACATCAGGTGCATAATGTTCATGCTTTCAGATATATCAGGTGAACTGTGAACCAAGACAAATTAATTTGGTGCTAATATATATTTTATTGAAAACCCCTGAAAATTATTATGCAATTTCTGATTAAAATCTTACTCCAAAGTATTAAACATTTGGTTAAAAAGTGACAGGATATACTTTTCTGTCTTAAACTAGGTGGGGAGGTGGGGTTGGGTGCTTTGCTTCTTTGTAAATTGAGACCTCAGCGCTCTGCAGCCGGCTGTCTTGAGAAAGTGTGGACATCACTGAGAAGAGGCTTTGAGGAAGTTCAGCCAGCAGGCTTTAACCCCTTCTCTGCAGGCCAGCTTTGACTCTAATGCTGCAGCCTCACATTTCTTCAGGAGAAGTCATTTATAAATATAAAGTCTCAAAGGAAACAATTGCTTCATGACTGCAGGTGCTTTTTGGTTTTATGGAAGTAAATGTTGATGAATTAACTTCATTAGCTGGGCAGCCGAGTTAACACGTGGCTTAATGATCCATTTTCTAAGAGAAGTTACCGAAGAAGTAGCACACATCTTTAACTATACAAGAATCATGTGTGCCTCAATTTATTCCTTTTTCCATTTGTAAATGAATAGCCTTTAAAATACACTACTCCGGGTTACTCCAGTTTAGTTTTCTAACGATCTTTTCCCAGATCTCTGCTTCTGCTTCTGCACAGTCTGTTACCGCTGCGCCTCCTATTAACTGACAGCAAAGCAGTAGGTATGAGGGAGCCACCGGCCCCAATTTGATGTCCACTAAAAAAAAAGAAAGCATGGCCTGCTTAGGAAATCACCCTGATGTTTACCTGCTTGTCCCGTTGTAATGTCAGAATGAGGTGACTGTTGTTCCCCTTGAGTCATCTTCCCAAATGAAGATTCCTCCAACAGACGTCAGCATACATGGTGATTTCCCTTTCCCTTCAAGAATGACTTCATTTCATGGGAAGATACTGGGACATTTCAGCAAGATTCATTTCTGGGGAGGCAGAGAAGTAGTTTGTCATCTAAAGACTCAACCGGAAGTAGCTTTAACAAACGGCTCCTAAGCGAGAAGCCATATTCTGTCCATTGTATAATTTTAGACAATTGAAAAGTAAAAATGAGTGCATTTTGACCTTTGTTTCTCTTACCTTTGTTTATATAAACCAACATTTCAACAACTCCATGTGCCAAAACAAATGGTTGTTTAATTTTTTAAAGTATTTAACTGGACAAGGTTATTTAAAACTCAATCAATTATAAGTTTGTTGTTTTGCAAGAGGAAATAACTTGGAGTCACATGGATCTGGGGTGAAATATAACTGTCATGTAATTGGTATATAATTTGGGGTAAGTTAACCGCTGTGAAGGCTTCAGTTCCCTCATTTGCAATATTGGCATAATAATGCTGCCCATTAGGGTTAACATAAATGACATAATAGATGCTGTGTAAATAGTGGCTATCACTGTCGACGTGTTTGGCACTGTGAAGACACGAGGAGATTAAAAGAAGAAGATCAATAGGAGATTGTTTTGCCTCTAAACTGGGCTTTATGATCTACTTGAGATAATATAGGAAATCCCTACTGGCTTTGAGTGTGGTAGGTGCTCAGAAGAGAGAAAAATCCATGACATAATAGGAGGTAAAGGCTTGATGGAAAGGTGAGGAGATTTAGAGGAAGGTTCTCAGCCCTGGCTGCCCATCAGAATCCCAGGGACCTTTAGAAACGCCTGTGGCCAGGCCCACCATAGAATGAGTAAATAAAATCCCAAGGGATGGGCCTAGGTCAGTGGTCAGCAAACTCATTAGTCAACAGAGCCAAATATCAACAGTACAACGATTGAAATTTCTTTTGAGAGCCAAATGTTTTAAACTTAAACTATATAGGTAGGTACATTGTTATTAACTTAATTAGGGTACTCCTAAGGCTTAGGAAGAGCCACACTCAAGGGGCCAAAGAGCCGCATGTGGCTCACGAGCCACAGTTTGCCGACCACTGGCCTAGGTATTTTAAAGTTGCCTGGGACTTTAACATGTGGTCTAGTTTAAAAAACTACATAGTAGGAGTATTCCAAACAGGAGGAAGAACAAAAAGAAAGTGAAGTTTCTTTTGTTGTCCTAGTTCTGAGTTTCAGAGAGTATGGTCAGCAAGAACCACATACTATCCCTATGGATATACTCTTATATAAAGATAGTCGGTTGAGTGTTGTCTCTTGCAACGAGGGTTGCTATTCAATTCTCTGTCAGAGCACATGCCCGGCTTTATCCCTGGTTGGAGTTGGGAGGCAGGAGTCAGCAGATCGATGTTTCGCTCCAGCATCAAAGTTTCTCTCTCTCCCTCTCGCTTTCTCTCTCTCTCTGAGGATCAATGAAAAAAAATCTTAAAAGAAAAAAAAATAGTGGCTTCTGTCATAAATCTGATAAGTCAAGTGAGAGGAAGGGTGTGTTTGATTTCTTTTTCTGTTTAGTCAGGTTTGTGTTTTTAAACTCTAATTGTCGATTTTAGCTGTGATAATTTTGAATACAAGAATTTCAAAGTCAGTAAAATATTTTTAAAAATTTTATATTTGAATATGAAGAGGAACCACCATTTGGAGTTGGTTTCTTAGACATGATGATAGAGTTGTTCTGGGCCTATTTGACACTCCTGTCAGAGTCCTTAGTGCCCAGGGCCAGAGGGAGTGCCTTAGTGGAGCATTGCTCATTGGCCGTGGCATTCTGCATTGCCACAGCCATGTGAACAGGTTGGCCAGACACTCTCTGATGTCAACAACTCTATATTTGACGTATTCATTAAAATGAAACTGTAAAATACCAAAATTATTTTTTAGTTATTCAAAGTAGAAAGGGGAGTAAAATATGCAAGAGAGGAAAGTGTTGGATCTATGCCCTAAGGTATAAAGAAGGATGAGAGACACTATCATGGTGTTAATGATGTTCACCTACATTTTTATAGAGAGAAAATCCTATTTAAAAAAAATGAGAATAGAAAATTTTGAAGTGAAATGGAATGAACCAGCTAAACTATAATGTCCTTGGGTGAAGAAAAGGATGTAAAAAGCCACATCCTGGATATGTGCCAAACACCATGGTTATGTGACATGTTTGTACACAGGGGTGGGCAAAAGTTGGCTTAAAGTTGTTCGTATAAAAAAAGACATGCAGGTTATTATTGCAGCAGCTTTATTAACTCTTGTGTTTCTAATACAACTATAAACCTATTTTTGCCAACACCTGTATAACACTTATATAGGAAAAAAAAGTCTCATACCTGAAAAAGCATTCATTTTTATTATGTGATTAAGCTTCTGAACAATAAAGCAACCTTTTTCTTTTACTACTAAGGCTGAACGCTTGATAAATATGGCCCTCTATTATTTTTCTTGTGCCATTGCTCATGTGTGCTTCATTTTTCAAGCGGTTGGGCTGTTCTTAGTTTTCATTGATTTCATGGAGGGGACATGATAGAAAATGAAGATCTCAGTATGGTGTATAGTGTTCATGCAAATTCACATGGAAGATAGAATGAAAGAGTGAGGCCCTGCATGCAGAGCAAGA